AATAATAATAATAATAATAATAATAATAATAATAATAATAATAATAAAGTTTCCACATGAACTGCTGAGACAGCCTGGAGGGGAAAGCCCCCCGCCACCAAATCTGACAAGTTCTAAACTGAATCCAGGGTTCCACGTGGTGGGAAGACCTGGCTCATTCAAGTTGTCTTCTGATTGCCACGCACCGGGCATGGAACACTCATGTCCACACTTACATACATACAATAGATAGTAAGTAAATAAGTGTTTGTTTGTTTGTTTGTTTGTTTGGGGTTTTGTTGTTGTTGTTGGGTTTTTTGTTTTGTTTTGTTTCTGAGACAGGGTTTCTCTGTGTATCCCTGGCTGTCCTGGAACTCAACTATGTAGACCAGGCTGGCCTGGAACTTTGGAGATCCTCCTGCCTCTGCCTCCTCAGTCCTGGGACTAAAGGTGTGGGCCCACCCCCTCCCCACAATAAACAAAAAATTTAAAGAATTAACAGCACTGGTATAAAAGGCCTTTCCCCACTTCCCAGTTGCAATTTTCTAGTGAGGCCTCACGCCAGCAGGCCACTAGAGGCAGTCAGGGGAGGGGATCGCTGAGCAGACAATGCTGGCTTCAGCGGCAGCTCTGGGTCCAGTAATTCATGCTGCTGTGGTGGTTCCCTGCAGTGGTCCTGAAGTGGGCTGTTCATAGCTGCGCTGCCTTGAAGTCATCCCCGCCTTTTGCCAAAGAAAGGATTTAAGAAAGGAGTGCATTGTGGCTGGCAGCTTCCCGCTCGGGGCAGCCGGTTGTAAACGAATAAGCAAGAAGCTGACTAGCCCACAACTAACAATTCTGCTATGACGGGGGAAGGATTAAGAGATTTCTACAAGGCCCAGCTGTGGTGGGGCACACCTTTATTCCTGCCCCTCAGGAGGCAGAAACAGGTGGAGCTCTGGGTTCCAGGCCAGTCTGGGCCACAAAGCTATGTCTAGGACAGCCAAGGCTACACAGAGAGGCCCTGTCTCCAAAGAGATTTCTACAAGAGAGATGTAGGAAATTAACATTCACAAGATTTTTATAACGTGTGTTTTGGGTGTGTAGAGGTCAGAGGACAACTTGGCTCTCCATTATACGGGTCCCAGGGATGAGTTAAAGTTGTCAGACTTGGCAGCAAACACCTTCACCCACTAAGCCTTCTCTCTAGCCCCTGAAATTAGGATTTGCAAGTCTGGGTCTCGTGCTGGGCATGGCAGCACACTCTGGTAAGCCCAGCACTTGTTAGGTAGAAGCAGGAAATCAGTAGTTCAAAGCTGTTCTGGGCTGCATTAGACATTGTCCAAAAAAGGACGCTGGGCAGTGTGGCACGTGAGAGGTTGGATGTCTGTGAGGTCAGCCGGGTCTACATGGTGAATTCCAGGCTTGCCACGGATGTAGCACTTACCTAGCATACGGGAAGCCCCAGGTTTGATCCCAAGCACCGCATAAACTGGGTTTGGTGATGCTTGTCTAATCCAGTGCTTAGGAAATAGAGGTAGAGGCAGGAGGATCAGACAGTCAGGAGTAGCCTCCTGGCTACACAGCAAGTTAGACGCCAGCCTGGGTTACGTCAGACTCCACCTCCACAATAACATTAAGAATAACAATAATTTCTGGAAAAAGAATCCCCGCAGGTGCGTACTACAAGCTGAGGAGGGGGCCGTGACTAGTCAGGGCCCATGTGAGGTCCTGGGGGTGGTTGTTTCAGCTCTACTTCTTACTTTTTAAAGAAGATTTATTAATTTATCTTATGTATATGAGTGCTCTGTTCTCATGCATACCAGAAGAGAGAATCAGGTTCCATTACAGATGGTGGTGAGCCACCATGTGGGTGCTGGGAATTGAACTGGGGACCTCTGGAAAAGCAGCCAGCACTCTTAACTCCAGCCCCTCAGCTCTACTTCTTGATCCTGGCTGGTGTATAGAAGAACATTTGCCTGAATAATACTCTTTAGAGGGAAATGTGTGGTTGAGGGGGGGGAGACAATAAAATGGAGGGAGTTACGGAATTAAAGGTGTGTATGAGTGAGCGTGTGGGTCCCTGTGCCAAGCTGCCTGCTTTTGTTTCTCTTGTTGCTTTGCTTCACAGTTCACAAGCCCTTCTCCTTCTTTTCTGCGGCAGAAAGAGCAAGGGTTATTCTATTTAATGATTGGAGAAACAGGCCCGAGTGTGTGGTTTGCTGCAGCTCATATGCCTCCTGACCCCAGGCCTCAGCTTCACTGAGAAGGGCCAGCTAGCTCACTCAAGGCTGCCTGTCAGTCACTGGAGGCCGCCTGTCCCTTGCAGGAATCACTGAGATTCTGATGAACAGACCTCATGCCCGAAATGCTCTGGGGAACGTGTTCGTTAATGAGGTGAGAAATGGTACATCAGGGTGTGGCCAGGGCTGGGCCTGTCTGAGGAGGAGTTATCTGAGGATGTCCTCTGTCATCTACAGATGCTGGACGCTCTGGCCCAGCTTCGGGAGGACCAGCAGGTCCGCGTGCTGCTCTTCAGAAGTGCAGTGAAGGGTGTGTTTTGTGCAGGTGGGCTCCCTCCCGTCCCCTCCTCTTTAGTGGTTGGGGTGCATCGGGGCTCCAGCAAAGGACCCGTCCCCATTTTACAGCTAAGAACGCCCTCAAAGACACAGGCAGGTAAAGTTCCTCCCCAAATTTGATTTACACAGCTCAGTAAGGGATACAGTAAGGTTCAGTCTGAACTTGGCCTCTTTGACCCATATCGTTGTTTTTTCTACCTTGCTTCCTTCTGACCCTTTACGGAGGAAATGGAGTCACTGAGTCCCAACAGGCTCACGAGGTAAATGTCAGTCCGTGTCTCTAGAGCTTTTCAAACCTGCGTCATCTGGCTCTCACAAGGATACCTCGAACTTGTTTCAAAGGCCAGAGAAACATGCACCCGAAAGTTTACAAGAGAGAAGTGAAAAAACAAAACAAAACACACAGCTATCAGCCCCCTTGGGCCCTACTGAACCAACCTTTAAAGAATTAATTAGTGGCCAGGAGTGGAGGTGGACACCTTTAATCCCAGCACTTGGGAGGCAGTGGCAGGTGGATCTCTGAGTTCAAGGCCAGCCTGGTCTACAGAGTAAGTAAGACAGCCAGGATTACAGAGAGAAACCCTCTCTGGAAAAACCAAAACCAAATAAACAAACAAATTAGTGGGTTAGGCAGTAGCGGTCAGTGCTCTTAACCCCTGAGCCACCTGTGCAGCCCCTAGCCAGCATCCTTTGATGCACAAAGGATGCTCACTCTGAAGAAGTCTGCTTCATTATGATGCTGTGGTTGCTCCTCTCTGCACTGGTCCCTGCTTCTCCCACTGCGGCTGGGTTTCCCGAATCCTTTCCTTCCTCCCTGTCGGCTTCTGCTCCTTCTGTCTCCTTTGCTCGCTCCTTTGACCGCTGGGATTTTGTAATGGCTATTTCCTAGCGGCCAGCAGCAGCTTGTCCTCTGCAGGTGCAGACCTGAAGGAGCGGGAGCGGATGAGTCCCGAGGAGGTGGAGATCTTTGTCAGGCGCCTCCGAGGCCTGATGAGTGAGATCGGTGAGTCTGAAGGTGGGGTGGAGGGATGGGGCGGAGAGAGTATTCTTTCTGTCTTGAGCTCAATGGGGACACAGGGGACTCTCTCATGAAGAGCTCAAGGGATTACATAGAGGTGAGGGGGCGGGGCATTTCTTCTCTACCTCATTTAAAAAACTGTTATTATTTTAGACAGCGTAGGTAGTCTAGACTCGACCTGCCCCATCGCTGGGAGTGCAGGCATTGCAAATGCCACCATGCCTAACTACAAGTTATTTCCCTATCTGTAGCCATGTGTCCGGTCCAGTGGACCTTCTCCCTATCCTCAGAATTCCTGCCCAGTGACTCGAGTGGTCAAGTTCACCGAACACACTTTCATGCTTTGACAATGGCTATTTCTATTGCCTGGTACATCCTTCCCAGCTACTTGCCTTTTCACCCACTCTTTGAGGCCTCCAGTGCTTCCTCCTACCTCACCAACTCTTTGTGCTCCTTACCAGAGCAGACAAGGTCTCCGACTATTGTTGCCTGGCTATGAGTTTGCCTTCCTTCTTAGGCTGATCCCCACGGGAGCAGGGCCACGCCTGACTCAGCTCCATGCTGGCACCCAGCACAGGGCTTCCACGTTGGCACACAGGAAGGCAGATCCCAGCAAGAGCAGGCCTCCAGGCATCAACCCCCTTTCCTGTTCCCAATCCCCTCTTGGGCCCAGAACTTACTCTATTGGGAAAATCAGCTTCCTTCTCAGATAACCTGGCAGAGGCACCTGTAAGGCTGCCTGCCCTGGGGTTGGCAAAGCCCTCTAGGCCACCAGCCGCCGGCTTCTGTCCTGGACCTGTTTGCCTTTGCTGGCTGAGCCTCTCTTTGTCTCCACAGCAGCCTTCCCTGCACCCACCATTGCGGCCATGGATGGATTTGCCCTGGGCGGGGGTCTGGAACTAGCCCTAGCCTGTGACCTTCGAGTAGCAGGTACTTGGCAAGGTGGAGCTGGGGGGAACTGGGTAGGACAAGCGAGCCAAGCAGGGAAAATCAAGTTTCTGAGCTGAGACCAGCAGAGTAGGAAATGGAGGAAGCAGGTGAAGCTGCTCCGCCGCCCAGCGCTGCCATACCTCGCCTCTGAGAGCTGCTTTCCTCATCCGAGAATAGGTGCAAAAACCCCTGGGAGGGGAAGCCAAAGGGGACAAAGTTAAGGAGTTTGTCTATCTAGATCTGGCCAAGTCAGATTACTTGAACTGAACAATGGTGAGACATGAGGGCTGTTTCTCATTGTCCCTGCTCATTGCAAAGGTCACCGGGCACTGTCCTCAGCCAGGCTTGTGATTACTTGCTCTACAGTTGAGCCCTAAGCAGTGGAGGATAACAAAGGTCACCGGTCACTTTTCAAGGTCACACTCAGCTGGGAGAGCCCTTCTTATAGGAAGGCTGGAACCACTGTGCCCATCCCTTTATGCCGTCTCTTTCAGGCCCAGGAATATTCAAATACATACCCAGGCATGCAGTTTTTGTTCATCTGTCTGACACGGCAGAAGGGTGGCCCTATTTTCCCCCTGCGGAGGCTCTGTTAGGGAAGACCTGCTGACTCCCAGCCCTAGCAGCTGCTGTGGTGGGTTGCTAGCCTGCCCCATCCTCCCCACCCCCCACTCAGGCTAGGACTCTTCCATAGCAGCGTCTGGAGGGGTCTGGGAGGAGCAGCCAGAGAGACAGAGCTATGGACTAGTCATGGAGGATGGGCATCGGGCAGCTTCACTCTGTTCTGTTTCAACAGCTTCCTCAGCCGTCATGGGGCTGATTGAGACCACTCGAGGACTCCTCCCCGGGGCAGGTAACCCCTTGCTTTTCTCTCCCACTCCTTATCCTGGGTCCTTCCCTCCTGACTGTTCCCAAGATTTGTCCTTCTCCATTGTTCCATCTCTCCATCCCGACAGGAGGGACTCAGAGGCTGCCCCGCTGCCTGGGTGTGGCCCGGGCAAAGGAGCTCATCTTCACAGGCCGGAGACTGGATGGGGTACAGGCCCACGAGCTGGGCCTGGTGAATCACGCTGTGGCTCAGAATGAGGAGGGTGATGCCGCCTACCACCGCGCACTGGCACTGGCTCAGGAGATCCTGCCCCAGGTATGGCACCAGCTCAGGAGCTCCTCCCTAACAAAAGGGAGGCGTGACAGGAGGCCCCGGGGGGCAGCTGTTTCCCAGAACTGCACGAGATCCACCCCGTATTCTGTTATCCAGTAGCCAGGCCAAGTTGAGTTCTGAGTTAACCCATGGACTGAGCTGAGGAGGGCTGGCGTGGTGGGTGGACTTCCAGCCATCAAAGCCGAGGAGGCTGCTAACTCCCCGTGATGGCAGCCGCCTTCCTCTCCTGTACGGAGCGTGGCAGGGGTGAAGTCACCTACACTGGGCCACACGGTCCCTCGTCACAGCTGACTTGGGTCCTCAAGGCCCTGAGGTCGGCTGGCTTTTCACAAAGGAAGCTGGGGCAGGAGGTAGGGCTGAGAGCTCAAGCTTTCATAAAGGTGAAAAGCAACTGAACTCACCAAGTGACTGCAGCATGAAAACATAGATTACAGTAAAACTTTTAAGATTGGGGAATGTGTGACTGGGAGGTCAGCCGGCAAAGCGTTCGCCTCCCATGCATGAGAGTCAGAGTTCGGGCCCCAGGACGAATGCAAAAATGCCAGAGGTTTGGGGTCAGCCAGCTTAAACTGATTGGGGAACCAGTGAGAGACCGTGTCTCAAAAATGTAAAAAAAAAAATCTCAAAAAATGTCAGCCAGCAACCGGAAGAGGAAGAGAGGTTGTCACCTGTCTCCACACACCTATACTGGTGTGCATAAAAACAAACACACAGACAATCATGTACATGGAATTTTAATAACCTGCAGGTGAAATATATTAATTTAAAAACATTTTTAAACATTACAAAACAGCCAAAATATAAAATTACGAAAATATTAGCCATATATTAGTTAACATTAAGATTACATCTGAAGCCAGTTATAGCAGCTAACACCCATAATGCTAGAACTCAGGAGGCTGAGGTAGGAAAATTTCTTTAAATTCAAGACCAGCTTGGGCTACTGAGATATTAAGACCCCCCAAACTTGTAAGTAAATTTATTTTTGAGAGGAGAGGAAACTTCTCCAGTCTCTCTCTCTCTCTCTCTTGTTTTTCGATACAGGGTTTCTCTGTGTAACCTTGGTTGTCCTGGGCTTACTTGTAGACCAGGCTGGCCTCACACTCAGAGATCTACCTGCCTGTGCCTCCCTGAGTGCTGGGATTACACTGGGGTGTTCTTTAATTTGGGGGTCAGGGATAATTAATTTGTTTCAAACCAGTTTTCTTTCTATGTGTTCTTTGGCAAGGAGCAGTGTTTAAATGGCGCCCGCTGCCCTCTGCTGTCACCCCAATGCTGACAAGCTGTGGACATGCTTGGTCAGGAAGTCTCTGGGTTTATACAGAACTCAGAAGGAACAAGGGAGTGACTGAAGCCTCCACAGAGGGAGGCAAGTTAGCAAGCTGGCTGGACCTGGGTATTGCCTTGTGAGTAAACTACGCAGAAGTTCAAGGCGATTCAGATTTCCAAATGGTGAAGTGTGCATCAACGGCAGTATCCTAGAGCTGCAGGCATGGATGTGGCTCAGTGGTAGAGTGCTTGCCTAGCACACACAAGGCCCTAGTTAAGTTCAATCCTTAGCACCAAAATAAAAAATGAAAGATCTAGGAATGGTAGCACACACCTTTAAACCCAGCAGAGGCCAGCCTGTCTGCACAGCAAGATCCAGGCTAGCCAGAGCTAAATAGTGAGACCTTGTGTCTAAAGTAAAATAAAAGTAGCTCTGCACCAAAACACCAGCCTGCCCACACTGGTGGGCACTGCGGCCCACACCTGTCCCACAGCTAGAACTTTCTGAATAGGGATGGCGTATTAGCCGTTAGCACCTAGTGGGCAAACCACTGAAGAGCGAATGACTCGTTCTGAGTTTGGTCAGACGTGCATTATGCATACATTACCCTTAGACTAAAGCAGTTCGCTGGTTTCCCTGTGAACATCAAAGGAGCAAACACACCAAGGCCGCCCTGACCCAGTTCTCTTACTCCCAAGTAACACCTGAAATATGATCCACCAGATCTCTGATTTTAAGATGCTCACACATATTAAATACTCACGCTCATGCAGCTCGGGCTATCAAATTCGTCTTCCTGACTCCACCTCCCCGGTGCTGGCCTGGGTGATGTCGAGTTTTTACTTTAATGAGAAAATAGGTGCTGCTGGCTGGTTATAACTCGTGGCAAACAAGCAAACAGAACAGAGAAAGGCAAGAAAGGCATAAAACATACCCAGTCACTCACACTTGCTGAGATGGGGGGCCGGAAGAACGGCAGTGGGGAGGTGCCTGGGAGTTGGGGACTCACTGAATACAGTGGTACAGTGCTTCGACCCAGGAGCCCCTATTTCACGTGTGTGAAACGTATGTCTGTAAGCGCTGTGAGCAGCGTGTGGTGGCAAATGCCTGCAATCCTGAGGCTAAGGCCCAGTAACTCAGCAAGATCTTGCCTTAAATGTTAGCTCAGAGGTGAGGGGCCCAGTGTGGGTTGAACTCTGAGGGAGACCTGCCTAGCATGGGTGAAGCTCCAGGTTTAATGTCCAGCACCAAAGATGGGCCGAATGACAGCCTGAGGCGACTCAGACTAAAAGGGGCAGGAGTGTGCTTCCTTCTTTACTGGTGGTTACCGGTGTGGGCAGCCTGGCGTTTTGGTGCACAGAGCTATTTTTATTTTACTTTAGAGACAAGGTCTCATTACATAGCTCTGGCTAGCCTGGAACTTGCTATGTCGACCAGGCTGGCCTGGTGATGAAGGAAGCTTTAAGAGGTATTAGGATGAACAGTAAAGAAATAGATGCTTTCAGTAAGAAACCTGGACACAGACTCAGACCTGTACCTTCTTGCTCAGAGCTTTGTGTCTCTTTAGTCCAAGTTTTGGGTGTCTTCTCTCCCCTAGGCTCCCATAGCGGTGCGCCTGGGCAAAGTTGCCATTGACCGAGGAATGGAGGTAAGATTCTACTGGTCAGGGTTCCTATGTCAGTCACTGGCTAGGTATATTCCCACCGCGGCTGTCAAGAACTCAGAAATGGACTCTATAACACTCCCGGAGTCAGATCCCTGTGTGCATGCACCCCACCTCACTGGGAAGTGTGGTAAGATTTTTTGATTGCATAACTTCTGCATGGAGAAGCAAAAGGTTCAGAAGGGCAAGACCACGTACAAAGCGAGCGGTTAAAAGGCAAGCCTGTGTGGTCCTCTCCTCACGTGTCACCTAAGTCTAGGCTGGCACAGGCCCCAGGACATCAGCCACCTGTCAGTTCTTCCTTGGCACGCTGCAGCAGACCCGAGATTCGGGTCTGAGCTCCGTCCGCGGCCTATTCGGTATTAACTCTATTCTCCAAGGAACAGCCGGTGTGGGAGACTGGCTCAGCACTTGCCTGGCCAGCGCGAGATCCTGGCTTCAGCCCCCAGCTCAGAAGAGTCGCTGCTCAGTTTTGAGAGTTGAGAGCTTGTTCAGAGTGTTTAGCAGTGGGGCACAGCTATCAGTACACCCTTAACCCAAGACCGGTCCCTCCTCTATTTGGGGAAGGCCGTCCTCTTCTGCTGAGCATGTAGATGTGGAAGGGAAGCACATGAGGTGGGAGGGAGGAAGGGGACACCTTCCTAGCCGGCCAGATCACCGGAATCAGCCAATGGGATGAGAGATGTTTCAGCCAGATGGCTCTCACATCCCACTTTTGATATCTGTACTCCTACCATTTGGGAGATGGAGGCAAAACTCTTTCTTCCTCATACTGGTGAACAGTTTGCTAAGTGCCGGGTCAAGAGAATGTTTGGCAGGGTGAAGGTGATAAAACACCTTTAATCCCAGCGCTCAGGAGGTAGAGACAGGCAGATCACAGACTTCAAGGCAGGCCAGGGCCATGTAGAGAAAACAATAAAGAATGTTTGCTAGAGCTGAAGATTAGTGGCCAGGAATGATGGCACACACCTATAATCCCGGAATCTGGAAGGCTCGGAGTTTAAGGTCACTCTAAGCTACCCTGCCTTGCTGTAGCTCCATGGCTCCCTCCTTGATACGATGTATGTTTGTGTCTGTGTGCATGCACATGTGCTATGTTCAATCCACAGTGGATAGGGGCAGGCTCCAGAGGAAAGTTAAGTACGAGCAGAAACACAGGCATATAAATTGAGGATTGACTAAGAATGACAGGAGCCAACCTGGAAGCCAGGAGTCCAAAGACCAGCTCTTCTACTTACTGTTACATCCAGTCCTAAGTTAGGCTTCCTGCCGTGTCAGACTGCTCGATGTTTTGGAAAGTAAGTTTTAAACTGCTTACTAGTGATCGAGGCCTGCCTGTGGCCGCAACCGTGACTGTGCCGCAGCAGAGGCTAGAGAATGTACCAGGTCGTAAAGCCTGGAGCCTCACTCCTAGGTCCTGTCAAAGACACTCCTCAGAGTGACAAAAGGCACGAACAGGCGGTCAGGAGGAAGAGACACTGTCTGAAACAGCAGCTCACGGTCCTGAATCTGGAGGAAGTCGCTACTGCCCAATAGCCGCATCACCCACACCCCTGCCCATTTCAGCGTCCTTTAGCGCTGCTGTGAGGTCCAGGCGTCAGCACAGAACAGCAGTCAGTTCTATGCAGACTGGTGGAGACAGGAGGACGGGCTGGCTCTTCTATGAAAGAAGGGTTGGACAAAGTCCTGTTGACTCGGGGAGCACTGTTTTTGCAGGTGGACATTGCGTCAGGGATGGCTATCGAACACATGTGCTACGCCCAGGTATGTAACTGCTGTTCGTTTGTGCACGCTTGTGGGGGCCTAGGCAAACATGGGCAGACTCGTGCAGTTTAACTATGCCAGTGCCTAACGAACCTAAGCGGCTCAAGGAATCACAGGTCTTCACATGAAGACTCTCCTCAATCATATGGTAGACAGAGAACCGGAGCAGACCTAAGTCTCACAAAGCAGAAAAAAATGGCTTGTTTTGCCTGGTCCCAGCTGCCCCTATTGGGGGCTAAACTGGAGTTGGTAGTGGAGAGAACCTAGTGACACCCTCATGTGTGCTCTGAATTCTCTGAAGTCTGCTCTATCCTCTCTAATGGCAGGAGCTGAGCTCTGCAGAGGCCAGTAGTGACTGCAGAGCTGCTGGAGGCTCTCCTTCCTGAGACCGCAGCCTCCGAGGCTCGCAACTTTGCATGACGCAGATGCTATCACAGGCTAGGTCCACTTATGCAATGGCCTTTTTGGCCTCTGGTCCTATTCCTCCCAAACTAATACCCACTGTATCTTTGCAGAACATCCCAACCCAGGACCGGCTAGAAGGGATGGCAGCCTTCAGGGAGAAACGACCCCCAAAATTTGTCGGCAAGTGATCCAATTAACTTTGAGCACACACCATAAAGCCTAAGATCCAGAGGAAAAGTCTGCAGCAGGCTAGACCTCTTGGCTCACCTCTGGCCTTGAGTTGTATCACAAGGACAATGCCAGGCATTGTTCCTAGAGCCAAGGTGCTGACCAGTTCACTCACTGCCACCTCCCAGGTTGCTCACCTCGGCTAGTCACTGGGATGGAGGCCTGCCTGGTTCTCCTCACTCAATTAACCTTTGGGTCCATGTCACTGGCTCTGATCACCATGGAACAGCAAGCCCTTGTTTCTTTCTCGCATAAAATAAACCTATCCAGGTTTATCTGAACAAGCTTCAGGAGCCAGGCCACAGATTCCAGCTCTCTGTAGATAGCTCAGGGGAACTCTGGACAAACCATTTAACTTCTCTAAGCTTTCTGTATCTGGAACTCAGTTCTGACAACGTAAAATCCTTGTGTTCAATAAACACTCTGCAACTGTTAGCTTGTACTGGGACCATGGGGGGTTGGGGCAATGGACACCTTCTGCAGACTGTGGTGCGGCAGGAAGGCCTAGTCTCCCGGAGCGCTGACAAAGGGCTAGTGGCTCTGAGAGAAGGGACGGGCAACCAGGCAGGCAACAGTGACTCTGTGCCCGGAAGACAACTGGCATTTGAACTGGCCTGAGCAAAGGTGAGCTGGCAGGCGTCCTACTTGGAGAATAAAGGTAATATAGGGCCAGCTCCTCCAGGCTTCCGTGTACCTAAATGATCGCTCCTCTCCTCTTCTACCAGAGCTGTCTAGGCCTCACCCTCTGCCAAGACCTAAGCTCTAGCTGAGCATCCTCAGTGTAAGCTTGGCCGGGAGTCACGGAAGCATGGCTTGGGGCACAACCAGCTGCACTGTTGATGTGCTGCCAAAGCATATACCAAGCTTATGTCTGTACCCAGGAAGGGAGAAAACCACAGTTCAGGCCTTAGGATCAGCACCATCCTTACAACCTACCTGACATTCGTCTCATCTGCTCAGTGAACGCAGGTTCGCAGAGGACTGCTGGGAAAGAAACCAAGCTTAAAGGGGTGCCTGGTATTGAGCTTCCCACTCGTGCCCAGGAGCACAATGCTTCCAAGGACTAGAACCCAGGTTCAGAAACAAAAAACCTTATTCTGCAATCATGCAGCAGACTGTGAGATTAGACGGCGGCTTACAGACACAGTCATAAGTTACTTTGCGTATCTACGACAGTGGAGAGAAGTGAGGTGATATGGCTTGAACTTCAGAACCTTCTACCTCTTCCTTCTCAGCGCTGGGATGAGTTTGAAACAGGGCTTAGAACAGCAAACAATGAGTTTCTTCTCAACTAATGCTCAACTACTTCAACTAAGAGGCTTGACCAAGAGGCAGAAAGATGGCTCAGTGGGTAGAGTGCTTGCTACTCTTGCAGAGGTCCCAAGCTTGGTTTCCAGGTCCCAGCTGACAGCTGCCTGTAACTCTATCTCCAAGCTCAATACCCTCTTCTGGCCTCTGCAGGCGTTCAGTCACAGCGTGCAGGGATGTGCACGCAAACGTACAGAACACGCTAGCTAAAAGCACAAACCTCCAATATCTAGGGGCCTAGGGAGATGGCTCAGCAGTTAAGATCACTTGCTGCTCTTGGAGAGGACTGGGGTTCGTTTCCCAGCATCCACATGGTGGCTCATAACCATCAACCATCCTAATGCCAGTTCCAGTGAGTTCACTGCCTTCTGACCTCGGTGGACACCAGGGTCACATGGTGCACAGACACGCACATGCACACAGCAAAGTAAATCTAAAGGAAAAAAATCCTCTAATATCCAAAGAGGAATTTATTTTTTACTGTTCTTCAAAACGCAACTGAGTAGAAAAACAAAACAAAGCAAAAAAAAAAAAAAAAAAAAAATCCAACTTCTCACCAAGGAAAGGAAGGAATCCACACCATTCCTCAGAACAGTTCTGCAGGACACAAACTGCTGACAGTGTTCATTACTGCTGGGGCTGGTTCTCGTAAACCTTGTGTGTCCACATTAGGACAAGCATCCACTGAAATACTCTGCAAAGACTTTTGGAGGCCTGTCCTCTTTCTCCCAGCTTTGGTCATAGCATTAACCAAATGAGAATTTCCTATGCATTCTTTTCACTAACTTTAGCCTTCAGCCTTACACATTCATATACACTCAATGGTCCCATTCCTCCAATCTGAGGAAAAGGGGGAAAGAAAATAGAAACTGTCAGGATATGGGAGCTCATGCTTGCAACCCCAGTACCAAAGCAGTAGGAATGCTGAGCTCAAGGCCAGACTAGGCTACATACAGCCTGGAGCAGCTGAGGAAATGCCACAATACCAAGGTCTCCCTGAACTCTACGACCCAAACTTTTTTTTTGTTTTCTTAGACAGGGTTTCTCTGTGTAGCCCTGGCTGTCCTGGAACTCCCTCTATAGACCAGGCTGCTTTCAAACTCATAGATTCACCTGCCTCTGCTTTGATTAAAGGAGTGCACCACCACTGCCCTGGCACAGGACCCAACCCTTTCGTCAACAGAGGAAAGCAACAAGAAAACACACCAAGATGGTCAAATGATAAATGCCAATAATTGATAAACCCCAACATGTGGTTTCAAAACTCCATTTCCCAAAGGCAGAAGCCCTGTCCTTAAGAAGCAGCTCCCCTCACAGGCCCCAGGGTCAAAAAGGGCGCTGGGGCTGTGGGTGTCTCTGGTAGCCTGTGAAGTGCATCCTGAAGTCCTCCAGGATGGAGGCCGCCATCTGCCTCACCTGGGCGCTGGTCTGACCATGCTCCTGGATATCATACATGAGCTGCAGGCCTCCGTCTTCTATCAACAGCTTGCAGTACTTGCTAGCTAAAAGAAAAACAGAAATGCTGGATAAAGTAAATATCAGGACGGAGCTGGTGCACACCTTTAATCCCAGCACTCGGGAGGCAGAGGCAGGAGGAACTCTGGTCTACAGAATGAATTCCAGAACAGCCAGGGCTACACAGAGAAACCCTGTCTTGAAAAAAAACAAAAAAACAAAAACAACAACAACAAAAAAAAAAAACAAATGACCACAGAGCCAGAATTAGAAGGGACAAAAGCTCTCCGGGTTGGAGAGGCCGCTCAGCATTTAAGAGCACTTGCTGCTGCTCTTCCAGAGTTCTTGTCTGTAATTCCAGTTTCAGGGGATCTGAAAGCCTCCAGCCTCCACAGATACTACACACACATGGTATATAGAGGCCCCAAATTCACTCTTTACTCTGGGACCCTTGAGAGGTGAGCTGCCAGGGGCCACGCATGTTGGGATGGTTGGCCAATGGTGCCCCTTGAAGTACTTTCTACCCAGTGGACTCCAGAGGTGAACGGCTACATCCAGAGGTTGCTGGTTTCTGGTTATGGGGTACTTTATCTGATGAACGGGGAAGATCTGACGGGGTCGTACATCCATTTGGGCACAGAGACTCATCCTCTGGCCCACCCGTTATTTCTGGTTAATTGAGTTTCAAGTACTGTAGGCTTCTTTCATTGCAGAGAGAGGTCTGGCACCTTGTGGTCAACAAGAGTCCAGAGCCTAGGGACAATTCGGGGCATTCCACAAAATTAGGAGCCAAAACTGAGAATTTTCACAGGCCTAACGTGGATTTGGGGAGCCAAGGACAACTCAGAATGGCCCTACCTTTGATGGGTTCCTAGCATCTGGGTTACACAAGGAGGAATTATTAAATGTCGTTGTTTAGTTTTTCTGTTGTCGCGTTGGCCTCATGTCTTATGTGTCTGGCCTATCTTTTGTGTGTTCTGACCTGGGGCTGGAAGCACTGCAGCTTCTTTAAATCAGGAGCTGCCTGCGCCACCCCATCTCCTGTCTATGTGTAGCTTGCAGAGAGATTAGGTCGATGGAACTTCAGAAACCTACAGCACTGGCACAGGCATAAAGACTTGGGGGCCTGGGATTTGGTGGGCCAGGCTTGGGGCTCAACAAGCAGCTTTGTAAAGCTCAGGGTCCCACACAGAAGCCTGGAGGTGGTCTCTTTGCTCCCTCTGGCCATCCGACAGCACCACTGAACAGCTCTAACTTTGACATATGGATGGACCTATGACCTTGATATGCTGTTGGGGGATGGGCTTTTGCACTGTGTGTTCAGATACTGATTTCTGAGATCTGGTCACAGTCCAATTGTGAGCACTGTCATTTCTACGAAGAATCTCCTGTTGTGTAAAAATTATTCCCCAATTATCTCTGATTGGTTAAGAAAGAAACTGGGCAGAGGAGACAGAAGGTGGGAATTCTGTTCCCAGTCAGGGGATCTCAGGTAGAGACCAGGGAGGCAAAGAGGAAGTCACCAGGAGGAAGAAGAAGGTGCCATGAAGAAGCTATGAGATGTTCAACAGGAGGACAGAGAGATACAGCAGAAGGTCAAGGGCAGAAGGCAAGTAACAAACGGCACAGGGCTGGGAGGTAGCCAGATTAGCATAACTGGGTTAAAACAGACGAATACCTGCCCAGTTACAGTTTTAAATCTTATTAATAAATCCAATAGTTCTCTGTGGCAATTATTTGGGAGCTAGGGCAGGTAGTAGAAAAGACCCTTACTAATCCCATGATTCAACATTTGGCGTTCAATGTGGGATTAGAAATACAAACAGAGGGCCTGAGAAAGCTCAGATAGCTAGGCAAGAAAGCTGAAAAATCAGCTAGGAAGGCAGGGGAAAGGCATGACTTACAGACACAGTTTCTGAAGACTGGGGGAACAGCAGAACACCACCAAGGGAGAGGCTACACCCCTCCTGTGACTGAGGGAGGAAGGCTAAAGTTCCAGCTCCATCCTCGTGAGGCCACCACCTTCCCTCAGGTCAGAGGCTATGTCTCCACCCATAGCTGTCCGGGGCAATTTCAGCCTGTGCTGGCAACAGGGCTTTTTCCCAAGCTTTGCATGGTGCCAGAAGGGTTGTAGACGGCACACTGCTTCCACGGGCCCCTCAGTTAAATAGCCATGACTTAACTCAACTGGCAAGTTCCATGCACCGCGGTTTCTCTTAGGCTTTCTCCAGAGCACTGGTGATGGCATCTGCAGCAGGAGAAGGACCTGGCATCGAGTGAGCGTGGGCTCGCCTGTGTGAGCTCCAGTTGCACAGGCCAAATCCCTGCAAAGGAGGCCTTCGGCTTGCTGCTCTGAGAAGCCAGCAAACTGCAGTGCACTGCTGTTAAACAGCTTCCTAGAACACAACAGCAGCAGCCTAGAGGCGCCTACCGTGGGAAAGGATAGGGCATTTGTTGAGACACAACTCGCAGTGGATGCTGGCAAACGTGAAGCTTGGCATACATGCCAGTTACAGACAGCAGAGGCAGAAACACCTCTCCCTGAGAGCAGAAAGGCTGAGGCGGATTTCACCACAGCAACAGCCTAAGCTGAACCATAGAGGGGGACGGAGAACACACAGACAGAGCGAAGAAATATGAGTACAACCAAACTATTGAACAGGTAAAAAAAA